ATAATATCTTAATAAGATCATTACACTTCCTGTATCCGATACCCAGCTATGCAGGCCTTTTTATATTTATTCTTAAATTGTTTTACACTTGTACATTGTTTTAAATCATCACCCAATCTATTCCATAATTTTACACCACTCACAGATATACAAAAACTTTTCCTAGTTGTACGTATGGCCTGAGTTTTTAAATTTAAGTGGCCCCTCAATCCATAACCACCCTCTCGATCACCAAACAGACCCCGAATACCTTTGGCACCAGATTATATCTGACTTTATACATACACACACATACACACACACACGCAGAATAATAACCAAGTGAGGTCTTTCTTTAAGGAACTGGAGGAAAATCAGCTGGAGACCTGTGTGCCGCTCACCTTCTCTTTTGTCGAGTCCAGCTGTTTTGTACAATGTTCAGACAACACTGTGCTTTTGACTGTCAGCTTCAAACTAAATAGAAGAGTTCCAGCTTTTTATTTTGTCTTCATTTCTTCTACTAGCTTTGGCTTGTCTTCTTCACCTCTTCCTCTCTTTTTCTGCTGTATCATCTCTGTGTGATGTGAAGAAGGTTTCTCGCCCTTGAGTTTTTAGAAGGATTGAAGCACTAGAGGACTAGGGGACCAGGTGAGGGTGGATATCACTGCTGCAATGGAAAAACAAGTCTGGTACAAATGCTGCTTCCTTTGTCATTTAAACACTTAGTAGTAGTAGTTTACAGCAGTAGTCCATTTTATTCTCACACATTTTATTTACATTTCATGTTAATTTTATTTTAAAACATTATAAATAGTTGATGTTTCCAGACGTTGATAATAAATGACAATTTATGACTTGTATTTTTCCCTTGCTGTACTGAAAATGAACCGAACTTCAAAAGTGAGGGGCATGCCCAACCGTGGTTTCTGTGTACTGTTACACCCCTACTCATCACACAGAGCCTGCTGCCCTTAGCTGGGCCCACAGCACACAGATCCTAGGTACTAGAATACAGACACACATACGCTCAGATATGCATCCACATCAGCATGCAGTTTGCAAGCCCCAGGGCTCCACCAGCCTGTCCTTATGAATATAGTTGACTCCAAAAGCAGGCAGGAAGTGCCCTGGACAAAAATGGAGCTCTACCACATGCTAATGTGACTTTTCAGAACAGACACGTGAACACAAGGTAGAAAAATAGCTTTGAATTTGTTGACATCCAAATGTTTTTGAATTGGAAGTGAGCATTGCAGTTATTGAATATTATGATACAAGATAAACCAAGTAATAATCACAAGTGTGATCTGATTTAAAGGGCCAGTTCACCCAAATTACCAAATAAAAGAGTGAGATCTAGTTTTGTCTGTATTTAACATGCTGTGTTCATCCATCTGTGGAAAGGTTTCTGCTTCGGCCCCGGTACAGTAGAGGTCAATGAAACTTCATCTGTTTGCTGTAAATATTTAAAACATCCACATCCACCAAAGAAAATAGAACCTAAGAAAACTTCTCATACCTGCAGAATTTTTCAGATGTAATTCAGAAATCACAGATATATGTAAAAATCTAGGCAAAATAAAACACGAACCTTCATTTGTTAGCTTTGAATCAATGTGATATTAACCAAACTTTTTACAGCCAGTACCTACAGTAGTTTTTATGTAGGGTTTGTTTTTATGTTAAGCAACATGTCAGTGATTCTTTGTGATGAGTGATGGTCATTTTGGGAGTTGCATGACGTTTTTGTTAACATTTGAATCACAGATAGGACATTTAAATTGTAAAGTGCAGAAGCTGTTTTTGAAACATAGTGGAGACAATATAATAATAAAACACCAGAAATTTTAATTTCCAAATGTTTTTCCTTATCAGTTTCAGACTGAAAAGGTTTCTTAACGTTACCTCCTCTCAGTGTTTTTGTCTGAGATGTGAAAAAGTTTAAAACTTCTAATGCAGATAAACAATGGCTCTAAACACAGATGGGACCTCCTCATCAACACACACTGAGTTTCATGATGGATTTTGGGGTTAGTTTGTTTTGTTTCTTATCGTGCTCCTCAGGCTACCTATATTTGCTGTTACCACGCTTGAAATTCTTGGCTTGTTCCACTGTTTTGGTTTTTATGCAGAGCCCTGCAAATACACCATGATTTATAGGCGTAATTCCACTCCAGCTTTTTTTTTTTTTTTTGTGGTTTAGCCCTGAAGCAATTTAGCACTGAAGCAAAGGTGCTGCTCCATCCTGTACATCCCTGTTTTAGGTCTGAATTCACTATACTGTACGCTGAAGCCATTTATTATTCTGTGACACCTGGAATCTGAGCACATACACATAACACACATAAATCCCCAGAAGCCAAAACTGGAGTTACATTCACTTATAGCATCCGTCCTGAATACAGAGATGCAGTGGTGCCTAATGCTACACAAAGAACCAAACTTGTAATCAAATGTTTGTTTATTAAATACAGAATAAAAATATAAGATGTTCAGATGCTGATTACAAAGCCTCGACTGCACTGCAGCAAATCAGCTCACTGTGGGCATCAACTCACCGTGCAATCAGCCCAAGTGGTAATCACATGCGATCTGTTCAGAAATGAACCTGCAGAGTACAGACACAGAGGAGAGAAGGAAGATTATCCATACGATGCGTCATCACTGAGCACATTTATTTCACATTTGTCATTTGTCATACAGTGTTTAGAGGTCAATGTCATGTGACCTCTCGTGGTCGTGGGAATAACTATGGCCCTTTCTTAGCACCAAACACAGAAGTGGCGTTTCATTTTCCATTCCATTATCACCTGTTTATCTGGGGTCAGGTTCA